CTCATTTTGAATGAGAATTAAAAAGGAACTATGCAGCCAGTTTTTTTTTCACTTCCTGCAAATCTCAGAATGTTCAACCTTGCTGCTGTTGGGGGAGGGGAGCCTCTTTGGCCTCCATGGACTTTCTTCAGAGGAGCACATACCAAATATCAGGGGTTCAGGAATCAAAGAAAAGTCCCATAAATAATGTCTGAATTGCCAGAAAAGCCATAATCTTACCCTGAAGATGATCCTAGTGCCTGGCAAGAGGGACCTTCAGGGAAGCTCCAGTTAAAGGTGGGGGTAATGGAAAGAGGTGACCCATGTTTTCTGCCCCTACTTGCAATCACACTAAGGGTCAGACAACTGCAGAAGGGAAGGTCCAGCCATGGAAGGAGTCACTGCTTCCTAGGCTCAGAACAAGAGATGTGAGATGTAGGAAGTGTTTCCTCAGTTGAGCTTCACCAAGTGTGGCTCAACACAACCAGGTCATTTTCTCAGCAACAAGGCAGAAGTGCTTTGCCATTTCTCTCCTCTAGGATGGGCCTTCTGACTTGCTTGCAATTGGTCTTGCTTGCTTGCCAGTCTCAGATGAAAGTGATAAACCAGTCAGACCTTGCTTAGCTGTTCAAGATCAGCCAAGATTGGTGGTACTTGGTTCTTACTGGGTTGGGACTGGAGTATAAATCAAAATCAATGTTGTGAGAGTTGGATTAAGAACTACCATGTCTGGAATATATGGGGAACACCATCCATCTTGTACCAATTCCCAAAAGTTTAACATCCTTGCTTAAAAGTAATTGATGGTGGCCATGGTCCTATGAGGATAGGTTGGGATTGGCTTTGGAGTATAAATCAAAACATATCTGAGAGAGGGTCATCTGTCTTGACCAATAACAGAATTCCCAGAGGTTTAGCATCATTGAATAAAAATCACTGATAATTTAGTTAGAAACCCCTACTGGGAATAGCCCTGCTGGCCACCTTTGAATGGCTTCAGTGGTGTTGGAAAAACAGGACTGTGATGTCCCATAGGAGCAATAATAGGAACACAGACAGTTTCAACTTGATCGTTTCTTAACACCCCCAGGAATGTCCCTTCCAGTTCCCCATGGTCAGCACCTTTAGCCGGCCAACTTTGCCTTTCATCCATAATGAGAAAGTCAAGATGCTGAGTTATAATCCAGGCAGTTTTACCACCTGGCCCCCTTGGGGTCTTCAGCTTAAATCCATCCCAGGCAGGAGCTGCTGCCCCAGAAATAAACTAGCTATCTTCTCTCTTTGGCATCTATTAGGCTACTGACTGAACTATAGGGGAGAACTCCATCAGACAATGAAAACTTGCCTGAAGGAACGTCTGGAAGATGCTGAGGCCACCAAGACAGGAATGGAGGGGCTGGAGGAAGAAGTGAGCCCAGGAACCTCAGTGGGGCCCTTAGAGGAACGAGCGGATGAGCACCTGGCTGGAGAGGAAAGGGGAGAAGCGCAGCTGCAGCTGGAGGGCTCAGAGACCCAGCCAGAAGCCCAGGATGGAGAAGGATTGCAGCTGCAGCTGATCAGGAGGGATGAAGAGAAACTGACTCCTCCACCAGAGGACTGAACAGAAGGAGGCACAATGGAGGTTGGTGAGGCCTCTTTGCCTCTTTCCTCCTAAGGAGTAATTCCAGCACATGCCTCCTTAGTCCAATATTTGGACAATGCAGCGTTAGAAACAACCACACATTTTCCCCTGCCATGCAGGTACTGTAACTTTGTGACTCTTGTTCACCTGACTTTGGATCAATGCTTCATGCTACCGGGATTTTGGTGTGTGTGTGTGTGTGTGTGTGTGTGTGTGTGTGTGTGTGTGTGACTGAGCTACCTTGCATTCCGTGGAATTTTACAGGAGATGTGAGTGGGACCTGGGGAAGACTACAAGGGGCTTCACCCTCATTTTTTGGACATGATCAGCATCAAATTCAGACAATCTGTTGGCCAAATTCCATCAGGGCCAAATGACCCCTTTGACAGTGGCCAGGAGGGTGCAATTCCCTTTTGTTCCTTTTCTTTTCTCCATTAAAAGCAAACCCTCTTTTGGGGGGGGGGAAGGCAACCACTTTCAACCCCAATGTGGTTTCCTTAAGAGAAGGGCAGGCTCTTTGGGCCCTCTGCTGAGGCTTCCTGTCCCATCACTGGCTGGCCCCGCCCCTCGCCCTCCCCTCCCAGCCACTCCTTGCCTGGCCTGAGAAGGTAAGACTGATGGCAGGGGATGGAGAAGCAGTGGCACCTCACTCTTGCTGGGCCTTCTTCTGGCCCTTGTTGGTGCTGGGCATGCCTCAGTCACTTGGCGAGATGCACAATCTGCTCTCTGCCCCGAGACACTGGCCCCACCCAACCACGACCGACAACAGCCTCGCTAATACGAGGGCTTGTGGGGTGGGAATGGGGTCTGGCAGGAAGGGATGATGGAAAGAGAGCTTTAAGAAGCTCAGGGTAGCTATATATATATATAGTTATGTGTTATTGTCTGTATCCCCCTCCCTTTGAGTTGTAAGCCGCCCTGAGTCCCCCCAGGGAAAAGGGCGGCCTATAAATAAATTTTCAAATACTCAAATACTCAAATAGTGTGTTTGTGTGTGTGTGTGTGTGTGTCTGTATCTCTCTCTCACTCCCTGTCTTATTGTTTAATACCATTTTTTTGCATTAAGTTGCGTGAATACTGTGATAGCTTCGTAGTATACATTTTGATACAAATAAACATATTATTGCGTTATTACATTTTTCTTATTGTTTCATATTGTTTAAACATACCTAATGCTACCGCTCTTCAGTTTCTAAACTTCCCTCTTGTTATTAGATATACCTTAACGTATTAATATATATGTATGTGTGTGTATGTGTGTGTATATATATATATAATTATTCCCCTCTTATTTCTCTCTATTTTAACTTTTTTCCCCATGTCACCACAATATTCAAAGACATTTCTTTTCTTTTTTCCATCTTTCACCTGCTTTAATATTCATATTTCCCTTATTTCACCCTTCACATCTATTTATATTAAAATCCCATCCTTCATTCTTTCATTATTCAGTGTTTCAATGTACACTTGTAGTACCAATCACAATCATTTAAATCATTTAAATGCTCTCTCTCTGCTCTTCACAACTCCTGCCCTCCTCTCTGTATCAGGAGCCTGAGCCCCCCCCCCCCTCCTACGCCCCAAACATGCTGGGGAGTTTGAGAGGCAGTTGTGGGAGCTCCTGCAAAATGCCTTCTCCCCAGAATTAGCTGCTACACCCTCTGCCCTCTGTCGTGGAGCCTCAGCTCCAATCCCGTGATTTCTCAAGATAGATTACTGCAGGGCGCTCTCCCTTGGGCTCCCCTGGAAGACTAGGCTGGCTTGTGGGAAGGGAAAGTGGAGGGAGGGGGTAGAGGGCCAGAAGTGGGGCTTTCCGCAACCCTCTGGCATAGCGCGGGCGCGCGCGCGCGCACACACACACACAAACATGCAAGATGTGGTTAGCAAATTGTTACTGTTCTCAGAAGTGCTGAGCTGCGGCTTTTATTCGCTGCTTTTATTACCGTGCGAAATAAACTTTTATTACAGTGCAGCTTCTTCCCCAAACCGCCCATGGACGGGGCGGGGCGACGGGGGGGGGCGTCGATCGGTAGCTTCGCAAGCAAAATTAGCGAGGAAGGCATCGCAGTGGCTGCATTCACACAACCGGGGTAACCAGGACGTTTGAGGTCTACCGTTGCCCCGCTGTGGGCAACGTCTCCCTAGGATCCTTCCCTCCCTCCAGAAACCCTGGAAAACACCAAGGGAGCAGCGCCGTTTTCTCTCTTCTTCACGGACCCGGACGGGGCGGAGAATTTTAGCAGAATTGGATTTCTTTGCGGATCTGGACGGGGCCCGAACTGGAGCAACGGCTGAGCGCCTTGTCCTTGGGGAACGGCAGGTGTCTTCGATTGGTGGCGCACGGTAGCGCCTGGTTGTAGGGCGATGCAGCTCTACCGGGCGCCCCTCTTGCTCTGGGGAGCTGTGCTGGGGTCCTTCCTGCAGGGCGGCCTTTGCGGTGAGTTTCTGGAAGGATTTGCGAGGGGCGGATGGGGAGGAAGAAATAGAAAGGGAGGGGCGCATGTCCTGGATTGGGTCTTTCTCTCCCCCATCTCCCCTCTCAGTCCCAAAGTCCTTTCCCAGATGGAAAAAATCTTCCTTCTCTCGCGCTTCAAGCAAGCCTGGCCTTAAATCTTTGGTGCCTGGTTTGCAATTAGCTCCCATTTGCGTTTCTTGGAGAACGGAGTAAAAGTGAAAAGAGAAGTTTTTAGACTTCAGCATAAGGTCTTACTTCCTGACTTCCTTCTCCTTCCTGGCAATGGGCCATCCAGCTCCATCGTGATCAGCAGACTTTGCCCTTGTTTGAAAAGGTTGCATCTCCTGGCAGGTTTTCAGGCCTTCAACTTACTTGTTAACTTCTATGCAGATAGCACCTACCTGAGTCTTCCCTTGTTGGGAAAGGGTCTGTGGGGAGGGTCACCATGGAGGCCCAGAGNCTTCAACTCCCAGGGTTCCTCAGCCAGCAAAGCTGGCTGAGGAACTCTGGGAGTTGAAGTCCACAAGTCTTAAAGTTGCCAAGGTTGGAGATCACTGGTCTAGGAGAAACAGATGTTCAGGTGGAGTTGCATACATTATTATGTGATGAATGCTAAAGTACTGCATTCAGGTACTTGCTATCCTAAATATGAAAGCAGAAATACAGAACCAAGGCCTTCAGCAAACTTGACTGAAATCAATATTTTGAAGAATGATAGCTTTTCAACACTCTCTTACAGCAGAAGGTACTCCTAAAGCCACATTAGAAAAGCACATAAAATATAAAACAATTCCACCCGCTGCTCAAAGGGACATCCGACATTTCATGAAGTAAAATTAACATATGGGCTAATTTTCCCAACAATTCTCACCTCTGACTGCATCTTCCAAATTCTTCTTGGATCACATATGTGCCCTTTCCGCCATCATTTTCAACAGCATAAAAGAGTGAAAAAGGTCAGATGATAAACATTCAGGTATTATCACAGATTCTTTGTAAGTTGAAGTACAGTGTTTGATCTCTTCTAACTAGGAAATACAGTTCATTTGGAGCAATTCTGCATGGAGACAAAACAAAAACCATGTTCACTGTAGGAGAATGTCATAGCACTCTAGCACAAAAGGGAGACAAAATCTTCTAAAGCAGGCACAGGAAGATAATATGTAAAGCAACATGAAGATCATTTGAAGAAAGTATTCCACAATCATTATATAGAAACACCAACTTAGCCTTGAATGAAGCTGGAAGTGAAAAAGAAATGCAAGATTGTTCTCCCTTGATACTCTTTGGTATAAAAGGGGGAAATCCTCTGTGAAGCTTTCAGCATTGATGTCATTCCTTCAAGAGAGGTCAAGTCAGGAAACAGATTGTACAAGTACACCTAGAACTTTTCTTTATTATTGCAGGTACTGGAAAGCTAGTTTGCTCATTGTCGGTGCTGTTTCTTTTATACAATGGTTGCTGCTAGCTCCAAAAAAGACATACAAGTGCATGCACAGAATGCACGCATGTGTGCCTATTAAAAATATCTTTGCATTTTTAAGTGCTCTCAATATGATCAAATTACAGGAAATATGCGGAAAGACCACATCCTGAACCCCAACAGATTAACACACTTCTAACAGCTTTTGCATTTATATACCTACAAAGCATTAGCAACACTTGTCTTAAAGCACTCAGATGCATGCAGTAACCTTTACATTACCTGCTCAGAAAACACAACATAGCATAATGCTTGTTGAGCTTACCTATTACCCACATAATAACTTTCCCACAGCAAAGAATGGTTTAAATATATCAGGAAGCATGCTTCTATAACCAGTCTTCTTTTAACTTATTGTTTAACTATAACTTTCCCTCAATGTTCCACTACCACATCACTCCAATAGAAGCAGAAACATGACTAGTCTTTCCTAAACTAGCAAAAGCTTGAAGAAAAGCAATGTCTCAAAGGTCAAAATAGCATCTCGGTCACAGCACATAAAACATTCAGAACATTCAAAAATACGTTCAATATGGGAAGTTTTGCTCCAACTTTTAAAAAAAAAACCTCTTGAAAAATGCATGTTTTCTTTCAACTCAGAACATTTCAAGATTGGGATGTTTTGTGGTCAAAACGTCTTGCTCATCCCCAAATATCTTGTCCATACTTTAGTTATAGTTTGTCCTTGAAAGCAGCTGAATTAACAATTTAGTTAATATATGTTGTTTATTGACATTGTTTTAAATATTCCAACAAATGCTACATTCTTTTTCTGCTAAATCTCTTCCAATGCTCATTGATATACAGAATGTTATATGTATTTTTGCCAGGTTATAATTAATTCCTATTGTTTTAAAACTGCTGATGGAGAAAGGAAGAGATAAATTTCAAAGCTTTGTTCAGATCTCTTGGTTTTCTCTTCCTTTTCCTTTGCTCATTTAATTTCATAGTAATTGTATTACCTCTTTTGCTTTGGGGGATGTAATCTAGCTAGGAAGGGCAATCAACAAATATGTTTAATACCAAAATGCCAGAAGTCTTTTTATATATTTAGAGAAGTGTTAAGAGAGAAAAAGAAGCTATGTCTTCACCAACTCCAACTCCATAAGAGAGTTTATGTGCATATAAGTGTATGGGGTGTCTATATCTGGGGAATATGCATTCATACTTTGATTGTGGGGTTTTCTACAGGCATTTAGTTAACCATCATGGAACTGGAATGCTGGAAAATAAAATTAGTCTGGTGCCGCCGAACTCTTCTTATTTTCTTATTACTAAGACAACTGTAATTAATCAGTGGAATAGCTTGCCTCCAGAAGTTGTGAATGCCCCAACACTGGAAGTCTTTAAGAAGATGTTGGATAGCTATTTGTCTGGAATGGTATAGGGTTTCCTGCATAGGCAGGGGGTTGGACTAGAAGACTGCAAGGTCCCTTCCAACTCTGCTATTGTATTGTATTGTATTGTATTCAGGGANGGAAAAGGGCGGCCTATAAATAAATTTTCAAATACTCAAATACCCGCCTTAGGGTCCCTTTAAGAGCGCGGGACTTCAACTCCCAGAATCCCCAGGGAGGCGCTCTGGGTTGCTGAGCGCTGGGAGTTGCAGTCCACGCCTCTTGAAGAGGCTCAGGCGAGACACGCGGGGCTGGACGGCCGCTGGCCACTAGGTGTTTCTCCCGCCCGCCACCGCCAGGCCGCCGCTCACCCAGGCCGATGGCTTGGTAAGCGTTCTCCGGGTCGTGCACCAGGTCGCAGAGTGCCATCAGGGCCCGCTGCCGCGTCAGCAGCTCGGGGTGCTGCAGCTCCTCGTTGAGCTTGGGGAGACCTCGGCGGCCGAAGGCCACGGGCGCCTTGGTGGGATCGATGTCGGGGGGCAGCTGGGCCGAGATCCGCGGGTGCGCCATGCCGGAGTGGAGCCCGCGGAGCCGCGCTGGCCGGGCTGCTAGGCGACGGGGACGCCGGGCGGGAAAGTCCGCGCATGCGCACGCGCCAGCTCTGGAGCGGGGTGGGGCCTTCCCGCGGTTCTGCGGGCGTTCGCCCGAGTGGTTTCGGGAACGTTCGGCTTCCCTTGTCGCTGCGGCGTTCAGAAAGCTCTCCCCTCCGCTGACTCCCCCTGCGTCCTGCGACGCCTCCCCGTCTTCTCCGACCCTGCCCTTTCCGCTGGGCCGGGGCTGGCGAGGGCGGCGTGGACCCTTGCCGCAGGCTGGTCCCCCCAATTCCTCCCCACCCCTGGGAATAACGTCTCCTCCTGCACGGCCCCAGCTGGATGCCGGCTCCTTCCGTGGCTGAGAAGTTGCTTCAGAGCACATGGCAAAGAAGGGCCGATCCGAGCAGGTGGTTGAAATACCGATGCCAGGATAGAGGCGCTTCGGTTCCCAGCCAAGCAGAGCAGCTCAGTTGCCAGGAAGCGGGTTGGTTTTCTGTCTCACTTGGTTCCTGGAGCAGATCCTCTCCTGTGCAAACAAAAACGGGCAGCTCAGAGCCTCGTGCGTTTGCGGGAGGGGAGGGAGAGGTTGCCGATAAGCCCCCCTCCCTCCCTGCTGGGCCGCTGTGAGTAGGAGATGAGTAACCCGGAGGAGCCTCCTGGAGCTCCTGAGTCGGCCAAAGGCCTTTCGGCTCCCGAGCTGCAGGAGAAAGGTGGTGCTGAGCCCAGCAGGATCAGACCTCGGTTTCTTAAGGGAGAAGTTTCCCCTGTGAGACTCAGCCGGATACAGGCAGGAAGACAGCGGTTTCCCTGCTGATCAGCTTGGTTCCCCGTTTCTTGGAAGGTGGAATTGTGCCTATTTGGTTCTGACCATTACATAGAACTGGGCATCCTGAAAAGGAAGAAGGGGAACGATGGGCACAGAAGCAAGGAAAGGATTGTGGCAGAAATTCTGAGGCTTGGCAGCTGCGAGAAATGCCCACCCACAATTGTTGGGGGCTATGGGGAAAGAGGCAGAAGGGCTGTTTTGAGGAGCAGGGGGTAAGCAAGATATGGGCACCAGCAAGGGAATAAGAGTCTTAACCCTGACTGTTTCCAAAGGGAAATGGAGCCTTTTGTCAGGTGCAAAGAACCGAGCTGCTGGGAGTAGTTTATTGCTGCTTTTTACAAGAATCTCAGACTGACTGTGCTCTCTTCTTGGGAATAACCAGATAAGGGCTACAGGGATTTTACTAGGAGGGGGTAGGTTTGGGTCACTTTCTCCCTTGCAGGGATTCCAAATTAGCTAGCAGGGAATCTACCCAGAGAGATGCAGTCAGAGTAGACAGGAGGGTTCCCTGATTTAAGGAATGCAGGCCTCCATGGCCAGAAGAATGATGCCAGGGCACCTGAAGGGTTTCTGAGGGCCTGGCCAAGTGCCAGTCGACTGAGGAAGAGTGAATGTTGCTCCTCTCTTTACAAAAGGGAAGAAAGTGGAGCCAGGAGAGTACAGGCCAGTCAGTTGGGTGTATACTGTCCAATTGACAAGGTCCTCAGGCAGGTTATGGATGAGAAAAGGCTTTTGTCCCTCTCCTCTCTGACTTGCTCCCCCCTCCCCCAGAATTTTGTGTCCAGTTTTGGCACCGCCATCTAAGCAGGACGATGACAAACTGCAGTGTGCTCAGAGGACAACTATTGATGCATTGAAGGCTCTGGAGACTAACCAGGGCACAGAGGAGAAGGCTGGCAGAGATGGGATGGCGCTCTTCAGAAATCCAAAGGCTGCCCAAGAGCCAACAGTCTGCAATCAGTGGGAAGCAGATTGGGGTTAGGGCCCAGGAGGACCTGCCTGCATCGCAGCCTCTCGAGATGTGTGAAATTTCTCTTCTCCAGAGGTCTCCAAGCAGAAGAGGAAGGGATCATGGAGATCTTCCAAACCGAGCAGTGGAGGGACAAGACGACTCCAAGGTCACTTCCAATCCTATGCTGCATTTCCATAAGGGGCCTTGGAAGTCGCCTTCTCCAACGCCCCACCCCCAATCCTCGGACTGTCCCGGTTGAATGGCTGTGATTGAAACCAGCGACGAGCTTCGCAATTTTGCAGGGGAGACGCATGCAATTAAGGCGGACGGGGTGGGGGTGGGGTTTCTGCGCACGGAGCCTCTCCTGGCACCGAAATTGATGGAGAAGGGGCATTTTCGGGCCGGGGGGGAAGCGCCTGTCGGCGGAGAACCAAGAGGGAGGGAGGGAAGTTGGCCTTTCAGGTCAGTGAGGCAACGCGGGTGCGTCGGGGAAGGGCCGAGCCTCTCCCGCCCTCGGGTGGTTGCCATGGCCACACGGCACTAGAGTCGGAGCCGGCCGCTGCCCGCCGAGGCCCTCACGCCAACTCCGCCTGCAGCAGCACCGCCGCCACCCTGCTCGGGAGCCCGTGCGCGAGGGGGCCGTGGGCCGGGGCTGCGCGCTGCCCTTCGCCGCTTGCTGGGTGCGGGGACTCGGAGGGAGGGCGGGCGGGCGCCGGACTCCCCGGCCCGGAGCATTCGCGCCCGCCTTCAGGTTGCTTCGGGTGGCCGAACGGGGAGGGGGGGAGCCCGCCGCGGCCGTTCTGCTGGCCGAGCACCGGAGGCTGGAGCATGCCGGCCGGGCGGCTGCTGGGAGAGACGGTCTGGGCGCTGCTACCACCTGGAGCAACAGAGGCACCTGCCTGGGCGCTGTTCCGCCAAGCGCCGCTTCCTCCGCTAGTGCGGAGCCTGGGCGGGGGGTGGCGGAGGAAGGCCCGAAGGCTGCGCCGATTGAGGGGCTCCGGGCAAGGGGAGAGGCTGGCCATTCGCAGGCCGCTGCTGGCAACGGCGCGTCAGTCGGGATCGGAGACGGCGCGGCTTGGAAGGGTGGCCTCGGGCAGGGCGCTCGGGGGCTTCCGTCTCTTGTCCAGCGAGGGTCCCCCGTGCGGTGATGGGGGAGCCCCGCCTGGGCTGAGGGGCGTGCCCGGTGGCGAGACAGGCGAGAGCGCTGCAAAGGCCGCCCCCATGTTCTCCGTCTCTCAGCTTTGTGTGCACGCAGAGATGCTGACTTCCTCCGGCCTGGCAGGGAGAGTTGAGGCTGGCAAAGTGTCCTCATCCTCTTTCTTTTGTGCCTGACAGCCCCTCAAGGTGGGCGATGAAGGGCCCCCTCCTGCCCGTCAGCAGAGACCGGAGGATCTTCGACTTCCCCAAGGTAAGCAAGAAATGCCCCTCCTGCCCTCCCTGATGGGGAGGGGGGTATCTTTGCCCAGTTGGAGGAAGGGATGGTGGGCCCTCCCAGCCAGGGCGTTCTAGTGATGCTGCTCCCCTCTGCCTGCAGTGCTACACCCCCGAGGCCTGTTTGCAGTTCAGGGAGGACTTCCATCCCCAGGTGAGGGCGGCCTGTCAGCGGAGGAACCCGGGCACCATTGGGTGAGTCTGCCTTCCATGGGCAGCAGCCTGTCATTGAGCTCTTCCATCTGCCTTGCTTTCTCGGCGATGCTTCCCTGCTCTGGGCAAGATGCCCCAAAGTAGAGAAGAAGCAGCCCTTGCGGGGCTCTTTGGCCCCCTCGTATTTCTGTGAGGAAGATGCCTCTGGAATAACAGGAAAGTCTCCTCCTTTTATCTGCCCTTCATAGCGTCCATCTCCTCTTCTCTTTATTGTTTCTTGTAAGCCACACTTGATGGGACACACCAGATGGGTGCAACACCTTACATGCTACCAGGATGTTTAAATCATTGCTTGCCAGAGGTTCTGAAGTGTTTGCACATTCTGCTAAGTCAAGCCAACCCGCTTCATGATTTAAAAGGATGTGAGCTAATAAAAAGTGTTGCAGGCAACATCATCAACCAAGGAGGTGCTCTGCTTTGTAAGTCAGGCCTAGCAGTGTATGCATTGCATTGAATCCCAAGAGCTTGTTAGTGCCACCCCACCCTCTTTCGTTGCAGACTTTGCCAAACAAACCACCCAGGTTCATCCTGTTTTCCAATTTCTGCAGACCCAAATAGAAAATGGTTTGGATTTGAAGGACAGGAGTAACCTTAGGAAAGCATCTCACTCTGGGTTTTTTAACAATGTATTTATTTAAATTATCGGCCCAGCTCCAGGAGACTCTGATCAGCATACAAAACTGGAAAAGACATAAAAGCAGCTAAAAATATTGAAAGAAACCAACAGCCCGGTCTTACACACTCTAATAAATAACAAAGTCCAGAAAACCAAACAGAAGCCATTACATCAACCCCGGGCCTGGGACCCAAAGCTTTCTGGAACCCCAGGAGAGAAGATACTGATCTTGCAGTGGGGGGGCTGTTCAAGGGAGTGGGGTCCCAACAGAGAAGGTACCCGGCCTAGGTCCCACGAGATGTCAGTGTTTAATGGGGGCACCTGTACTGGGCAGGCTGAAGCAATTGGGGACAAGCAGCCTCTCAGGTATCCAGGCCTTTGATCACACTGGGATTTATAAGCATTATCAGCATCTTGACTTGCCCTTGGAAGCCAACGGGCAGCCAACCCAGCTCATGTAGCAGTGGTGGGTACACCAAAAAGCACCTGTTGCTGCTGGCACCACTGTATTTTGAATCACCGGAAGCTTCCTGGTGGTTTCAACGGCATCCCCTGGTAGAGCACATGGCAGTAATTGTGAGATGACCAGGGCCTGAGTGACTTTTGGAAGGGCCTCCTGATCGAAGAAATGGCGCACCTGACACACAAGATGTATCTGGGCAAGGGGACGGCTGACAGGAGAATCTTGGCAATTGAAGGCTGCCCATCTCCAGGTTTACTGTTTACCGTTTATTAAATTTATAGGCCGCCCAATCCCGGGGGACTCCGGGCGGCTTACAGAAACAAAAATATTAAGAAAGTTTAAAAACAAATAAAACACAACAGATTTAAAAAGACACAACATGCACCCAGTCTAAGCGGGG